TGGGGTTTAGCTCAAGAGTGGCCAAACGTCTGTGGAACGGGCCTTTTCTACCGCACACCCAGGTGCCACGGTGGCACCGTGTGACCCCAGGACTCCAGCTCCAAAGCTCGTGTCCTCCCGCTCTCCTCACCGAGAGCGGTGGTACCCAGAACACACAGCTCCAACCCTGGCTTCGCAGGGTTCAGGGATGAGCGAGCTCAAGCTTCCAAGTGCACAGGATCCTCCTGGATAAGGCTGCAACCGATGAGTCAGAGATCCTCCTGAAAGCTTGAGTGTCCAGGGCATCGGGCCCCACAGTGAAGAAGTACGCAGGAAGGCAAATCCATGTAGGGTCTCCTGATGAGCGGGAATCATCCCCGGGGAGCCAGCTGGGCGATCTTTACAGCTAATGGCATTGAGCTACCCCACCTCGGGGATCTACCCACCGAGGACACCAGACAAGGGTGGCCTGGACACCTCCTCCCAACAGTGGTGGATGGATGTTGGAAATTTACTTTCTCTGATGACTTTTTGTCTTTCTTAAGCTGACTTTCTTTTTTCTTTCTTTCAGATGTTTTTACTATGAAATATCTCATGTGTATAAAGAAGTACAGAAGAAAATATAATGAATACCTGTGTACCAGCCACTTTTTTTTTTTTTTTTTTTTGCTGAGGAAGATGAGCCCTGAGCTAACATCTGTGCCAATCCTCCTCTACTTTATATGTGGGATGTAGCCACAGCATGGCTTGAGGAACAGTGTGTAGAACAGTGCCTGGGATCCCAACCTGGGACCACTGGCTGCCAGAGCAGAGCGCACTGAACTTTTAACCACTACGCCACAAGGCCAGCCCCCCAGCCACTTTTTAAAAAATGTTTCAGAGCCAGCCCTGATGGCCTAGTGGTTCAAGTTCCACACTCTCTGCTTGGGCAGCCTGGGTTTGGTTCCCAGGTGCAGAACCACACCACTGGTCTGTCAGTTGCCATGCTGTGGCTGTGGCTCACATAGAAGAACTAGAAAGACTTACGACTAGGATATACAACCATGCACTGGGGTTTTGGGGAGAAAAAAAATGTATATATAGTTCAGACACAGCATGCACTCAGTTGTTTGTCTCCGCTCCAGCCCTGCCCCTCTTCTCCCTCCCAGCCCACAGGTAACCACTACACTGAACTTGGGGTGCATTCTTTCTTCATATGTGTTTATAGTTTTACTACATATCTATGTATCCCCCAAATAATATCAGGAATTGTTTTGCCTGTTTTTAAACATTATATTAATAGTATTACACCAATTGTACCTTTATGCTAGTCAGTTTTTGGGGTGGAGGGGAGAAGATGAGCCCTGAGCTAACATCCGCTGCCAGTCCTCCTCTTTTTGCCCCTTTTGTCTGTGGGCACTGCCACAGCATGGCCACTGAGAGGCAAGTGGTGTAGGTCCATGCCTGGGAACTGACTGGGCACTGAACTTAACCACTAGGCTACTGGGACTGGCCCTATGCTAGTCAATTCTTGATTCAGCATTGTTTGGGGGGATTACTTATGTTAACATATTTAGTTCTAGTCCATTCATTTTTCACTCCTGTGTAACATTCCATGGTAGGAATAGTCCATAATTTATCTATTCATACTCCTAACTGAGGACATTTAGGCGGTTTTCAATTTTCCCCAATTATAACCACTGCTTCAGTGGACATTTCTGAACATATCTCCCTACACATATGTGTGAGGGTGTCTCTGGAGCACATGCTGAGGAGTGGTATTGCTAGGTCTTGGGAACGTGTGCCTTCAGACCTAGTCAGTATTGCCAGTTGTTCTCCAATCTGGCTTTACCAGCTTACGCTCCTGTCAGCAGTATATGAGAGTTCCCTTTCTTTCATATCTTGCCAACCCTTGCCAATCTGATAAGTGGGAAATGGTATCTCATTACCATTTTAACTCGTATTTCTCTTATTCTAACCCTGAGATCTTGACCCTTGTTGACTGCACACTCCCGTTCCTCTTCTGAGAATTGCCTTGGATTAAGGTAATAAATTTTCCTTGCTGCCTAAGCTGGTTGAGCCAGGATGCTTGACTACTTGTGGGTTGAAGCTGCCTGGCTGGAATAGCCATCCCTGAGGCTGCGGGCTCTTTCTGTTTAGGACTAAGCGAGGATCTATCTTTAAGGTCATTCCTCAGAAGCCCTGAGCTCAGCAAGTCTCTGCTGACTTTTCCAAGCTCTGATGGTGCCCTTGGTCCACCCTGAAACCACCACACCTGGATCGTCTGTTCTCAGAGTTACTGTGATTCCCTTATCTCCTTGGTGGAGCCCAAAACCCATGGGCTGAGGCCCTACAACTGTACTGACGTGCTTAGAACAGGGAAAAATTCACACCAACCAAAATGGGGTCCCTTGGAGAAACTGGCATTCCCATGCAGTCATCTCATGCAGGCTAGTTTATCAATGTGCAAAGACTCAGCCACAAAGATGCTTGCTGTTCTGTCATTCACGATAGCAAAAAAAGAACAAAAAGAAAGAAACCATCTAAACATCCAACATCAGGGTTTGACTAAATAAGGAATGGTACATCCCTCCGTGGAATGTACTGTGAAGCCACCCAAAGTCATATTGCAGAAGAGTACACAATGTCGAGGAATGTTGTTCAGGAGCCTTACCTTGGGGTCCACGGAGTCCTGAGGAGATGCTTTGGAAGGGAGTCGGCATCACCTGAGATGCTTATGTAAGCATCCTGGGCCCCTCTCCAGGCCAACAGAAGCTGAACTTCTGGCTGGGAAGGCAGGAGTCCTAAGATGATTCTTTTTTTTAAGATTTTATTTATTTATTTTTTCCCCCCAAAGCCCAGTAGATAGTTGTATGTCATAGCTGCACATTCTTCTAGTTGCTGTATGTGGGACGCGGCCTCAGCATGACCAGAGAAGCGGTGCGTCGGTGCGCAGCCGGGATCCGAACCCGGGCCGCCAGCAGCAGAGCGCACGCACTTAACCACTAAGCCACGGGGCCGGCCCCTAAGATGATTCTTATGCATACTAAAGTGGGAGGATCAATGCCACGGGGACCCTAAAATAGTTCAGAAGCATGCTGGTGTATTAAGAGGAAAAGAAGCAAGTTATATGCAAATTCAGTATATATAAAAGCAGTCCCCATCTGTGTGTGTGCATGAGTGTATGTGTGTACTAATAGGTACCTAGGCACCAAAAATTAACAGCAATTACCTCTAGATCAGTTTCTCAACCTTGGCACTATTAACATTTGGGGCCAGATCATTCTTTGTGGTGGGCACAGTCCTGTGCATTGTAGGATGTTTAGCAGCATCCCAGGCCTCTACCCACTAGAGGCCAGTAACACCTCCTAGTGGTAACAAAAATGTGTCGCGAGATTGCCAAATATCCCCTGGGGCACAAGATGGCCCCAAGTTGAAAACCACTGCCCTAGATGGATGGTGTGATAGGTGATGTTTTACTTTGTTTTTAGTCTATCTGCCCATTTTTCAGTTTTTTCTTTATATATATTTTTTTAAAGATTTTATTTATTTTATTTTTTCCCCCCAAAGCCCCAGTAGATAGTTGTATGTCATAGCTGCACATCCTTCTAGTTGCTGTATGTGGGACTCGGCCTCAGGATGGACGGAGAAGTGGTGCCTCGATGCGCACCCGGGATCCAAACCCGGGCCGCCAGCATCGCAGCGCGCGCACTTAACCACCAAGCCACAGGGCCGGCCCTTCAGTTTTTTCTAAAATGAACATCAAGTATTCTAGTCATGAAAAATATTTGGTGTTTCTTAAAGTCCCATTGCCTGTGCTGTCAAAAAAAAAAAAAAAAACACTCAGATGAAACGATGTTCACATTAGTATTTACAAGTAAACTAATTTTATTATGATTTTAAAATAATTATGCAAAAGCATTTACAAAGGCCTTCCAAATGTCTTTAAAATATTTTTTTAAAGGCTTTAAAATATTTACAACCTTTGGAATAGGCATCCTGATTTTGAGTAGGTATCTTAAAGAAGTACTTCTAAATATAGGAAATGCTTTACAACTATGGTTGAATTTTGCAGAGTCATTTATAAAAACAAAGTTATAAACACTCTAAAACCAACAATAGAAAACTAAGTTAATTATGGAACATTCAGTTGATAGACTACATTACAGTGTTAAAATGACAGTTACAAAGAGTTTATAACAATGTGGGAAAAGGTTTATGCCATATTGTTCAGTGGGAAAAAAATGGATACAAAATTGAGTCTGTCGCATCATCGCTGGCAGGCATAACCATAACAACAATAAAAAGAACCTATGCATCCACATGGCAAAAAAAATACACTGAGATGTTAAAAAGTGATTGTCCATTGAACAACAGCATCCTAGATGATTTTTTTTTGCTCTACTGTTCTGAAATGCTAATTTTCTATAATAAGCATGTATGTCTTTATAATGAGAGAGAGAACAGTAAAGTTTACATTTAAAAAAACTTCAAAATGATCACAAACAAAAATGTGCCAGAATTTCAGGTAAAAAATATGTCTTTACATTGATCTATATAAAAATAACTTTGTTCAGAAAATTAAACATATTCAGAAATATAAACTAAATGTGATTGTCTCTCCATGCATCAGCTCTGGGAAGGATGAAATGTAAGGGTGATTACACGACCCAGACGGTCAGAAAAGAGTTGTGTGTAGTAATATGATAACAGAAAATGATTTTTATGAAAAACAAACTGGATAATTTTTTTTTCCAACCTGGGATCACATTCTTCTAAAACAAAAGATTTCGTTTAGGAGATAAAATAATTTGAGTTTGATTAGAACTAACCAACCAAGGACAGATTTCAGTCACCTTGTTGATTTTGATCTAGCTTGTTTGCTTTCATCCGGGGTGATGGGCCATTCCATCCCATGGGGAACACAATGACTGCAGACAAAAGGCGGCCCTTCTCGCATGTGTAAGACAATATTTGCCCAACTGGTCATCCCAGGTGGCTCCACTGCATCCTCCTGTTGGCTCACCTTCACGTGGACCCGACTATATCTTACAATAGACCTCAAAGAGGGAGGCGGCTGCGTGCATTCGGTAGAAAATAGAAAAAGGCATGGCCAGGTTGACCACAATTATCCAGGGTTCAAAGCCAAACACAATTTCCTCCAACCCGTTGTCGTACTCGGGGCGGCAGCCGAAGGCGGGAGGGATCCACAGCTGCAAGAGAAGAGGACATCGTCCTGGTACTTCCTAGGAGGCCCCCCACAAATCCCAGGACTCGGGGGGCCTGAGTTACACCCATCACTGTGCTAAGGATCTCTGCACTGCATTTCTCATCTCCATGGAGACTGTCAAGTCCACTGAGCCCACCTGATCCTTCTCTCTTCCTTAGCCCCCCTCCTGAATGAACGCTTCTCTAACCCATCCAATTCTCTCCATCCCTACAGCCCTTGTCTTGGTTGGGTCCTCAGTATCCCCCACCTGAACTGCTGCGATGCATCCAAATGATCGCCCCACTCCATGGGCGCCTCCGATCCACCCCCCATGTGGCTGTGGGAGTGATTCTTATAAAGCAGGCATCTGACCTCGTCACTCCTCTGCTTGTCACTCACCAGTGGCTCCCAATCACCTTCAGGAGAAAGTCCAGATTCCCTCAGTGATCCAGCACCCATCACTTCTCCATGTCCCTCATCACGCTCTTCCTGCCAGCCTCCTCAGGTTGCACACACTCCCCAAATGTGCCTTTCTCTCCTGAGTCTTCAGGGCTTTGCTCCTGCCTCTTCCCCTATGGGGGCTCCCAATCTTCCTTCTTCTGGTAAATCTTACCTTCTTCCACATTCTGAGACACCACCCCTTCCAGGAAGCCCTCCCTGATCTAACAGGTCTGGGCAGGAACTCCTGTGTTCCCACAGCCCCTAGTGTTTACCTACAGCAGAGGTCGCCTGTTTACCATCCCACCTTTACGTACCAACATTGGTGCTTGGAGATCCCAGCCACTGGGTCTGGGCTGGCGAGTTCTGTGGTCTCCTGTCTGGCTTGTCTTTGACTTAGAGAGGCAGCCCAGGCCCTGCCCACATCCTCCTGATCAGGGGAAGAAGCACACGCTTTGGAGCCAGACCTGGGTTCCTGCCACTTACAGACTATAATTTAATCTCGCCAAGCCTCGGTTTCCTCATCTGTAAGATGGGAATAGTAACACCTGTCTCAGAGGGCTCAGATGAGAATAAAATGGCAACTAAGTTTGCAAAACCTGAAGCAATAACCTATTGTTTTTGTTGCTCATGGAACCCACACACTGGTCCCCCCTCCTCAGTCTCCCCGTCCCAGTTCCTCCCCCTCCTCCTCCCCTTAAATGGTCTGGCTCCTAAGCCTGCTTCTCTTTCACCCTGCACACTTCTGCAACTTCCTCCACCCCCACGCTGTGGCAGGCAGCCTCTGGGATGATCCCCAATGATCCTACATCCTTGTGGAGCCCCCTCCTCTTCAGTTGGGCTGAACCTAGTGACTTGCTTCTAACAAACAGAATCTGCCAAAAGTCATGGGATGTCACTTCTGAGACCAGGTTACAAAACGACTCTGGAGTCCATCTTGTTCAACCCCTCTTGCAAGAGAGGAAGCCAGCTGCCGTGCTGTGAGCTGCCGTTTCGGGAGGCCATGTGGCTGGGAACTGAGGGAGGACTCAGGCCATCAAGGAACACGAACCCTCAGCCCAACCACCCACCAGGAGCTGAATCCTGCCGACAGCCACATAAGTGGGTTTGGAAACAGATCCCCTCCCCCGCAATGGTCAAGCCCTGAAATGGCTACAGCCCTGGTGGGCAGTGTGAGTGCTACCTGTGAGAGACCCTAAGCAGGGTATCCAGCTAAGCCATGCTAGGACTCCTGACCCAGAGAAACCATGAAATAATATATGTTTGTGGTTTTAAGTTGCTAAGCCTGGGGGTAATTTCTTATGCAGCAATAGGTAACTGCTACATGTGGCTTTCATTAGCATCTCCATGCAGAACTCTCCCAGGTTTATATCTCTACCCCACTGTGTCCTCTGGGTTCTGTGGTTCTTAGGGGTCCTCCGACCTCCAGCTTGTTCTTCCCACTCTCCTTTGTGAGATCTTCCTTCTTCACTCAGTCTCTTCATGTTGGCCAATCCCGGGGCTCATTCCTGGGTCCCCTTCTCTTCTCTATACTCATCGCCCTTGGAGGATCTCACCTAGTCTCTGACTGTAAATTCCAGCTATCAGCCTGTGACTTCCTAACCTAAATCGCCAGCCCAGTCCACCCTCCCACCCTCAAGAATTCCAGGCTAGTGTGTCCCATCAGCTGCTGGGGTGTCTAAGATGCATCTGAAACTCAACATGCCTTCCCCATCCCCCCACCTCACCAATGACATCTTCCTCCCAGTTACTCAATCATCTTCACCCCTTTCTCTCCACCTCCAGCCATCCAGGCCACCACCCTCCTCTCTCACCCGGACCATTGCAGTGGCCTCCTGACTGGCCTCCCTGCTTACACTCCTGCCCCTACAGCCTAGTCACCACTCAGCTGCTGAATTAAATAAGCTTGTGTCCCTTCCCTAATTAAACCCCAAAGTCTTCACAGCCCCTAGACAGGATTATAAACCCCTCCATTAGCTGATCCCTACCACCTCCAACCCCACTCCCCGGACTGTCCCCCACCTAGCCAGCCCCACTCACATGCCCATCTTCCCCCCTCCTCAAAGGAGACAAGCTCACTCCCATCTGTGGTTTCGCACCTGCTGTTTCCTGGAACACTCGTGGCCAGCCCTTCCCTGCCCTTCAGCTCTTGGCTCTGGTGTCACCACCTGAGACAGGCCCGCTCACCACTCCAGGCCTTCTGGTCTACAGTGGCTGCCCAGGCGGTGTCTTGCACACCCTCCTTCCTTAGCTCTCTGCAGATCACGTGTCACTCTTAGATGTCTTCCTCTTTGATTGTTTATTGCCAGTCCTGCTATCGGGTTTGTAAGCCCCATAGGAGGAAGGCTTACATGTCTCAGTCATGTCACACCCTCGTCACTCACAGCTGCGCTGGCCCTCAGGAGGTGCTCAGTGGATATATTTTCAGGAAGGGAGGGAGGAAGAGAGGAAGGGAAGAGGAGAGGGAAGATGAGAAGAAAGGAAGGAGAGACAATTGGACCTCTTTCCTGAAATCCAGACCTTTGTATCTGCTGTTAAGTTGTCTGGGATTCTTGCTATTCATCCCATTGGGAGGTGGGTCCATGTCCCTTTCCCTTCAATCTGGGTGATGACGTCACTGCTTGACCCATAAAATATGGCAGAGCCGATGCCATGCAATACCCACCCCCAGGCCTCAAGAGACTGGCACTTCCAATCTCTTAGAAGGTTGGCTTGGGGCCCTGAGCCGCGACCTAGGATGTCCACCTGCCCCGAGACTGCCATGCTGGAGAGCCCACACGCAGATGCTGCAGCCAAGAGTCCCGGCTGAGCCCGCCTTCCAACCACTCCACCCAAGGCACCAGATTTTGGACCTTCAGCCCAGCTCACCCACCAGCGTCAGTCAATACCATGAGGAACAGGAGAATTTCCCAGCTGAGCCCTGCCAGAATTTCTAACCCATGAGGTCATAGAACATAATAAAATTGCTTCTGTTTTTGTCATATATTTGGGGTTATTTGTTACACAGCAACAGACAACCAGAACATCTGCCTGTTGGCTATGTCTACTTGGACGTCTCAGAGGCACCTTACGACTGAGCACGTCCAGTACCAAACTCACCTTCTTCCCTCCACCCTGCGCCCCCTCCCAAGCCAGCTCCCCCTCCAGAGCCCCCAGTCTCCATAAATAGCATCACCATCTGCCCAGGAACTCAAGTCAGAACCTGGGCATCATTCTTGACAATTCCCTGCCTTCTCCTGCTACAACATGGATGAACCTGGAGGACATTATGCTGTAGATAAGCCAGTCACAAAGAGCAAATACTGCATGATCTCTCTTATATGAGGCACATAGAGTAGTCGAACTCATAGAGACAGAAAGTGGGATGATGTAGGGGCCGGTCCGGTGGCATAGTGGTTAAGTTCATGCATTCTGCTTCGGCAGCCCAGGGTTCGCAGGTTCGGATCTTGGGCATGGACCTATGCACTGCTTGTCGAGTCATGCTGTAGCGGCGTCCCATATACAATAGAGGAAGATGGGCACGGATGTTAGCCCAGGGCCAATCTTCCTCAGCAAAAAGAGGAGGATTGGCAACAGATGTTAGCTCAGGGCTAATCTTCCTCACAAAAAAAAAAAAAAAAGAAAGAAAGAAAAGAAAAAAGTAGGATGATGTTGCCAGGAGCTGGGGCCAGGGAATGGGGAGTTGTTTAATGGTTGCAGAATTTCACTTTTGCAAGGTGAAAAAAGTTTTAGAGATGGATGGTGGTAAGGGTGGCACAACAATGTGAATGTACTTAACACTACTGAATTGTACACTTGAAAATGGCTAAGATGGTACATTTTATGTTCTGTGTTTTTTACCACACTTAATTAAATTAAATTAAAAAGAAAAAAATGTGAATCAGATCCTGTCACCCCCAGTATAAAACCCTTGGATGGTTTTCTGTGGCATTTAGGATGAAGTCCTGGCTTACGGCTGTGTAGTCTGCCCCAGGGCCATCTCAGCCTCTTGCCCTTGCTCAGTGTTCTAGCCACGTGAGTTTCCTTCCAGTTCCTGGAGTGCATCCAGCAAGCAACCACCCTGGTTTGCAACCACACCTTCCTCAAGCCTGTCCTCTGCCCAGATTGCCCCCACCCCCAGCAGCCACCCTCTCCCCAAGAGGAGGCCTTCCCTGACCCCCAGTGTTCCCACAGCACCCTGAACCCCTCCGTCATCACACCCACCACCCTTTACTGTCCACTCCCCGGCCACCGACTGCCCTATGTGCACACACGCCAGCACCTCGAGCTGCAGCCTCTTGCCAGCTCCTGGTCCTGGAGAAGACCCACGCCTGCCCTCTGCAGGTTCTTTGGACAACATGGGATCAACCACAGGGTTTCAGAGTGCTGCCCTTTGAGTTGGCTCTGGGCATCCTAAGACATCACCCTGCAGTGGTTTCCATCCTCTGGTTCACTTCCCAATGAACGGAGGCAGGCCTAGGGCCATCAGGGGCGGAGCACAGAGACGAGGAGAAAAAAGCATCCTTCTCCTGGGACGGAGCCCACAGACTATCTGTTGCCACTTGATTCTAGTATTGCAAGCAGTGCTATTTTTGTTCAGGCTGGTCCAAAAATGCAAGCCAAGTGTTTCATGGGGCAGTCAAGCTAAGAACCCCCACGGGGAACGTGGCTTTTCTGAATTTCCTGAAAAGAGATATATTCACACCTCAGGGTGAGTACAAAAACAATACGCTTTAGGGGAATTCTAGAACCAACCCTGACTTTATAAAAAATTGAGCTGATACACTGCCCTCTGGAATATAAGCCTCACATAAAATGCAGCCCCGCTGTAGTTACTATCATCTCTCTGTCTCGTTTTCCTGTTCAACGGCTTCGTTCCCTGCCGTGCCCACAGTCCTGACAGAGTTTCTGGCACTCAGCAGGGGCTCCATAAATGTCTATTAGATGAGAGAAGAGGGCCTGCTTGGAGCAAACTCTTCTGGGGCCCCTTCTCCTCCAGAGCCCCTCCTGTCTGCACACCTGGAGGGGGACTGAGCCCCAGGTGACCCAGAGCAAGAATCCAATTTGATTGGCAACCACGTGATCATTTTGGCCTCAGATGAACACTCCCAACTGTGTGGCCTCACGGTAACGTCAAAAATTGCAGGCCCTGGGCATGCGCCACCTGAGATTAGGGGGAGGGAGCTCAAAGCCAGCGAGCTGCTGGGGAAACAGAGTAGCCTGATGACAGGGAGGCTGGTAGCCGAGAGCTGACTGTGACGATGGGCAGGCACCGGGGACCAGGGCGTCCCCACCATCCCACCAGCCACAGTCATTGCAGAGCCCTGTGTGGTGCCAAAGGCTGCTTCCTCCTCCTTTTACCAAGCCCAGCCATCCCTCTACATATTTTTAGCACAAATCCCAACAACACCAATGCTTTTTATCCCTTTTTCTTCTCCCCATCCCCACCGTCACTGCCCTGGTTCAAGTTCCCATCATTTCCTAGCTGGGCAACTGCAGGGGCTTCTGTTCCAGCCTCCCTGCCTGTGGTCTACCTCTCTCCACCCTTCCTGCACGCTGCTGCTAAGAGGATCATTCCAAAACACAAATCTGAGAGCATCCTCTATTGTTCTCAGCATGAAGACCAGACTCAGCCAGGCCTATGAAGCTCTGCTCAAGCCAGACTCGTCTAACTGGACACTCCATCCCATTTTCCACTCTGCTGCTCTGCTTAACGTGTATGGAATTCATACGAAAATACTTGGTGCTGCCAAGATAGGCCATGGTGTCTTTTGCCGCCATGTCTTTGTGCATTCTGTGCCCTTTGCTCCAAACACTTTTCCTTGCTTTGACCGCCATTGCTTTGACTTCCAACCATTCCTGGAGGCTGAGGCAGACAACAGTGAGTGACTGACTGTACATCTTCTTCTACCTTGCTACCTTCCATCATAGAGGCTGGAAAGCAAACTATCCACCTCCCCAGCCTCCCTTGCAGCTAGAGGTGGCCACATGAGAGACATTGCCTGGCACCAGCCCTTCCCTCCTTCTTCCTGTCTTGAACCCAGATGTGATGCCTGGTACTGCTGCAGCCATCCTGTGACCACGGCAATAAGCATCACACCAAGCACAGTGAAGCGGAAAGGTGAACATTGCCTGGATCCTCAATGACAGGGTTCAGCTGCCAGGCCAACCCCAAGCAGCCAACCTCCAGAATTCTTGTCTCTAAGACTGAAGATGCTGCTAGTCAAACTTTCTATTATTTGCAGCCAAAAGCACTCCTAATTGAGATTGGGCCTCACCTCAAGCGTCCCCTACTCATTGAACCCCTCCCTGGATCCCTGCTCCTACTACACCTTGCACGTACCGTTGTCCCAGCACTTGCCGCACTCACTGTATTCTGCTTATTCCGTGTCTCCCTCCCCCACTAGACTGTGACTTTTTTGAGGCAAGATCCTGAGTCTTCTCGCCTTTAATCATCAGCTGCCCCCCAGCCGCTGGCACACAGCAGGCACTCAGTGAGTGGATTTGTAGACTATGAGCCTATGTTCTAGCCTCATTTTCAAGCCTTACACTTAAATTATTTGGACTACAAGCTGCCTCCATTCCTTATTTGAAAAAGGCAAGGAAAACAGATTAATTAACTTTTTAAAATAAATAACTTGATGCAGATTACCGAAATATTGCAGAGGAACAAAAAGGCTGCAATATTCTTCAAGACTCTCCTCTTGGCATTGCCCTGCAAGAAACGGGGGCGGCAGGCTGAGCCCGGGGCCCCTTCCCGGCGCCTCTCCTCTTGCTCTTTGCCACAGCCTTCTCGTAGACTCATGTTTCTGACGACTGCATGTGGCATCTCGCTGCCCTGGGGAGCCACGGCCCCGGCCACAGCTCCGCTCTCGAGGCAGGAGGAAACATGGTATGCGGCATTGCCATTGCAGACTGTGACCACCCGCAGGGTTCTGATGTCCTCGGAGAGCTTCTCGGGCTCTCGGTGGGTGGACTCGATGATGAAGAGGTTCTGGATGTATTTCTCCACGATCACCAGGATGGAGTAGGCCAGGTTGTACCAGGTATACGGGGGGCAGGACTCGGCACAGAGCACGGCCAAGATTGAGCCCCAGGAGATGAGCCAGGAGCCGAAGGCAGTGCCCACCAAGAGGTCCACGTCCACTTTGCGGGCTGGATTTTTGGACTCATCTAGTGATTTCTCATCTATCCTGTAAATCTGGATTCCAACCAGCCCTGCAGCCCCCATGAGCACCAGCAAGGTGATGGCGTACACATAGAACATGATGAGTGCCGACTCACTCTTGGTTTTGGAACGCCCTATCTGAATCAGATACACCACCACAACCCCGATCGTGGCTGCCAGCACGGTCAGGCCCAGGACCGAGCCCACCATGACCCCGTGAAACTTGAAATGCATCTTCTGAGGCTGATGACTGTCAATTTTTCGTCCAATGTTTTTCCACAGGACATAGAGCATAGTGGAAGCCAGAATCTGATACTCGATGTTGAAAGGGTAGAGGTAGTAAATCCCCTGTGAGATGACGGAGCAGAAAGCCAGGGGTGTGCAATTACACGGAGGTGTGTGGTCATCTAAATCTGGGGGAGAGAGGTACATCCATGAGAGGGTGATTAGCACATTCAGTGGGGAAGCGGAGAAGAACTGAGAAATATTTCACTGTGGATTCATGCTTAGGTTTTCCCATTGAATTAAAAACTTTATTTCATGCCTTAGTGTCATGTTTAATATCATGGGTAAATTGACAACCAGGAATATCCCCCAAAGAGTACTAATTACATGAATCATACTTTATCCACACATTGGCATATTATACAGCCATTGTAATGGTATTGTAGAAATCTACTTATCGACATACAAAGATGTTCACATGATATTGTTGAACAAAAGCAGCCAAAAGGGATAGAGTATGACTCTCCTCTTGTAAATTATAGATACCTAGAGGATAAATAGATATACAGATAGATAGACAGATACAGAAAAATCTGGAAAGACATAAACTAAAATGTTAACAATGGTTATCTCTGGGAGGATAAATGGCAGGTGATTTTTCTTTTCTATTTTTTCAGTAGAAGAAATTTTTATAGTGTCCTTTTTTCCCTACTTTACTGAGATATAATTGACATGTAACATTGTGTAAGTTTATGGTGTACAATGTGCTATTTTCTTCTAGATTTTGCTTCACTGTATTTTCTAAAATTTCTATGTGAATATGATTTACATAGGTGATTTTTTTAATTATTTAAAAAAAAATACTTAGTAACAGAAAATGCCCCTTCTTATCAGCAAAGATTTTCCTCTTGAGAATATCTGATGCTGGCAAGTGTGACATGGGACAGGCACCTTCAAACACCGATGGCAGGAGTGCAAGTTGGAATCACCTTCTGGAAGACCCTTGGCAATGGTATAAAGAACATTTCATAACAAGGAGGGAAAATGCTGTTAATAAACAATGAAATATGTAACGAAAGACTTAAAGATGATATAGATATAGTCTCTGACCTATAATTTCAGTCAATTTTAAGGAAGAAGTCAAAAATGTAATCAAAGCATTAGGTAAAATTGTGTGTGTGTGTGTGTGTGTGTGTGTGCGTGCACGCGAGACAGAAACACCTCAATGTGCAACAATGTAGAAATTAAGTGAATTTTGGTATGTCCACACAATGGAACAGTAGGCAGCCATTAAAAATTATAATTAAACTGTGTTTTAATGATAAAAGAAAATAATCATGTTACAATAACAATGGAAAAAAGTAAGGACAAATTATATATCCAGTATTGTTTTAAATGTATATCACAACCCAGTAATCTGTTGTGAAATCAATTTAGAGGGTAGCAACCAATATTTTTTTTAACAGAATGGAATTGTAATGGAATACAACAGAACAGAATGAATGGAATTGAATACAATAGAAATTTGAGAATGTCTCTGATATAGTCAGATAATTATTTCATGACATATGTGTACACACATACAGGTATGTGTGCATTTGGGTTGCAATGTAAAATCTTTTCTTATTGTAGGTTGTAGTGAAGAAAAAATTGAATATATACAGCATGATTTCACCTATGAATAAATAAATAGAACACTACAAAGAAATAACAGCATCTATTATAATAGCACACTACAAGTGTTAACAGCATTTAACTGCACTTCTGGATAGGTATTATTGAGGATTTTTTTCTTTACACTTTGCCATGGTTTTAATTTATGATCTGCATATACTACTTATAAAATCAGATGGAAAAGCTCTGTGGTAGCACTAATTACCCTCACTTTTGCAGAACGCTGTGCAATTTTCAATTCATAAGGAGTTTCCCCACCACTTGTAACCCAGCACAGTACTATGTGAAAGACGGGAAGAAACCAAGAGGAAAGGTCAGATTAACAGAATGTTAGAACTGATGGAGTCCTTTTTTTGTAAAATAATCTAATCCCATCTTTTCACAAAGGTCTCTGGAGCCAGATCAAATCCTGGCTCACTCATGTACTTGCTGTGTGACCTTAGGCTAGTTACTTAACTTCTCTGTGACTCCACGGCTTCATCCGTATACTGAGGTCAATGTTGTCTGCCTCAGAGTGTTGGGAAAAGATTAAGTGAGCCACATAAAGTGTCTGGGACAGTGCCAGGCACTCAGCAATCGCTTAACGAAGCTTTGCTTTTGTTATTGTTGTCATTGCTGTTACTGTTTTGATACTGAGGAAATGAAGCCCACAGAGAGAGAAGGGCCTTCCCAAGAGTGGGCTGCTAGTCACCAAGGGTGGTGACGAAACAATAGCGTGAGCCCTGAATTCATCATCCCCACCCCACTGGTGAGGAAACAGGTTTAAAGTGTCTCTCTGTGACTGGCCTGGCGTCATACAGTGAGCATAGACGTGTAGTGCATCAAGGCTGGAAGGAGTCTTTGAAAATACATAGTTCGGGTCCCCTTACTTTATGAATGAGAAAAGGAAGGCTCAGAGAGGTTGAATGGCTTCCAAAGGTCACACAGCTAGTTCATGATGGGAACAAGACCCAAACCTGAGACATCAGTTCCCAGCACATCGCACTTTCCTCTACCCCACATTCCTCTGAACCCCAATGTTCTAAAACAGAAGTGACAGGTTATAAATGCTAAAAAACTCTGGAAGATAGAATTAAAAAATAGAAAGATTAGCACTATAGGCTCTCAAATAGGAGCAAAGAGGAGTAAAGATGGGCCAAAATTATAAGCCCAGTAGAGTTAAATAAAAACTTCAAATGAACTAAAACCAATTAACCACAACCTACCATTAGACCTCTGTGGATTTTTTAAAGCTATACTGTAATAGAGGCTTAATCAAAAACACAGAAACAACCACCAATCATCCACAGTGTAAACAAAGACCTTCATTTCCATATCAAACTGGACCTTGAAAAATGATGATCAAAATGATAGGGTCTGACAAGTCTCCGAGTCATTGAAGAAACCTTTAATTATGCTCAGTACAGCCTTCTCTGGAGGCAGGATAGAGACAGGAGGTTTTGACAGATTTTCAACAACAGCGGACTGTCTGGCCAATGTGGAGCTGAGTGGACCCTGCAGTCTTTTGGAACCTGCCCTCCATCTCTGAACATTCCGGTCTCTGCAGTTTCCGAGATGCTGCAGCACAGAGGCAGGGCAGCTCTCACCACTCACCTATAGATATGTTCCCAAAGCCCAGGGTGATGAGCCGCTCCTTGTGCTCGTTCAGTTGGTGCTTTGACTCATTCAGGACGCTGTTGGCCCACAGAAGCAGGTTGGTGAACACCGAGTGGATGACTCCAAACCTGAAAACACAAGGACTCAGCTCTTGAGTGGCCCTGGGAGGCTCCAAGCCCCATGGAGTGAGACAGACACACACACACACACCACGTGCCTCCTTCTTAGCCATGGCTCTGGTTTCGTCTGGCAGCCCAGGCTCCAGGTGGGTCCTCTGTCTGGCTGGGAGGGGCAGTTCCATGGGACCTTCCAAAACCACGGTCTTGGCATTCTGCCTTAACCTTGAACCTGCCAGTAATTAACTCATTGTCTATGGGACAAAAAGAAACAGGGTCTTGGAAGCAGGGATACAGGGATGGAAATTTACTAAAAGCAGGCAATCAAGCCCACTATACCCCAAACTCTTTCTTCCAGAAGGGAAGAGAAGAGAACAATGAGTGAAAGATGAAAGGGCTGCACTGGAAATCTGGAGAGTTGGGTATGCCCTGACTGTTGGTTGGCCAGCCCAAGGATCACCATCCACCTCCTCTGCCCTGCCACTTACCTCTGAAGACACGAGAACAAGCCAGAGACTTGCTGTCTGGCCTCCCTGGCAGCTAGGCATGGCCATTCTGGCCAGTGGGATGTGACGTGAAGTCTACCAAGCACTACTGAAAAGCTTTTGCTTTCTTGATGAAAGAGATAAGAATGAGAAAAGCCTGCTTACTGTCCCTCTCCCCTTTTTCTCCAGCCTTGAATGCAGATATGAAGGCTGGAGTTGTGGCAGCTATCTTGTGACCATGAAGCAACCGGCATGGGATGACACCCTAACCCACTGAGGATGGCAGAGTGGAAATATAGAAAGATCCTGCTCTGTGATGACACTGTTGAGCTGCTGGAGTCTCAGATAGGCTCAGGAATTAGGCCATGGTCACAAATAGAGTAAGTAGCCGCACTGGGGTTGAAGAGTTAGTAAGCAGCAGGGCTGTTCCAGTCTGACCCCAGAGTCCTGCCCTTGCCTCTACGCCACACCACCTCCTAAGGAAGAAGAAAAGGGATGAAGTGGAAGGTGGACGCAGGACTCTGGGGAACAGAGGAGAGATCTGGGGCGAGTGTGGTTCCCATGGGGTCGCCGTCTGCTTCAAAACCTCCAAAGTCTCCCCACGCCTGCCAGTTGAAGATGCATTCACCTTGGTGGCTTCCAGGGTACTTAACAACGGGCCCTGCATGTAGCAGGTGCAGCAAATACTGGTGACTTGAGAGAGGCACTCCTTAAAGCTCTCTCTGTAACTGACAGGCTCAGCTGGAGAGCAGAGGCTCAGAGGAAGCACGCCCCCTCCCTGTCTAACCAGAGCATGCTCCTCTATGATCTGTCTACAGGAGAAAGGGTGCAGCTGGGTCCTCAACCCTGACCTTGCCTCTCCTCTGAGTTTTAACCCCAGCTGACCTCTGTAGGGCTCCCATCAGCAACTACAGGCAAAATCTTTCCTCACTTGAACCTGGCTTCCTTTCGCAGCTGTGTAACGTCCAGGCACAACTGGAGAAGAAAACAGCCTCCCGGGGGTGCGTGAGCCAGGTGCGTGCCCATCTGCTTGCCCCTGGTGCTTGCCCAGTTGCTATAGATTGTGGCCAGCCTTCCCCGGGGCCTCTGGGAGGCATTGTACAGCCCTTTGACAAATGCAGACAATGCTGTTTGCCTCAGACTGGCTGGCTTTTCTTTTACTCATAACGCACACAGCTCTCCTTTCTTCTCCTCTTTCCTGGTCCAAACGGCATTTCCATTCCCAGGCCCACGGAACTTGGGGAGGTAATGCCGCTGCGGCCCGCGGCTGCAGACCGGGCTGCCATGCAAGCTCCCTGTGAGCTGGCAGCTTCCTGTTGGTTTGACCCGGAAACTGTCCTACAAACTAAGGGCAGATGTCATTTCCTCATGCCAGTCTGCCTTTCTCATGCTTGGCTCTGATGACCCCAGACCATGGTAAAGCGAAGGCTTCCATGAGCCATTTCTGATCTCAAGTTATGTTTCCAGCTCTGCTTTCAGAGCTACTGTTCCTCTAAACCTCACCCTTGGGAAAAGAAAAGGACTCAAACCAGTAAGAGGAAATCTCAGATCAGAAAAAAAGGCCCTGTGTGCACTAAAAGCATAGGATAGTGGAATATTGGCTCAAAAGACCAGAAAAAAACAGTAAGTCCAGGCGTGGTAAGTTCCTAAGCCTTCAGGGCCTGGCAGGAAATGTCAATGAATGAAGCAGGTCAAGGGTGACATTAGGGAGTGGTGGGGACTGTAGCAAACTGAGGGGAGAGCCTCCATCTGGAAGGAACAACCCTGATTCAGTTCTAGCCCTTTGTTGCCACGCACATTTGGGATTGCCAAATCTTCTAATTTTTCTAGAGAAGTCTAAATCTAAAACCTAAAGGTGATAAGTAACTCAAAAATGTTCAACATTTTGCCCTACAAACCAAACAAGCTAAATCAAGTGATTTGCATATCTGGTTCAAGCCACTCACTGTCCAGTCTACGAAAGGGGCCCAGAGACAGGGAAAGACTTGTCTCCAATCACTCAACAAGCAAGGCCAAGGAAAGACCATGTCCCAGTCCCTCAGAGGTCCCCCGGATGAGAGATCATGGTGGTAAATATCTGGGTGGCCCAGAGCAGCATGCATGTGTGCACATAGGGATTTCTCACATGACACTAATACCTTGCATTTAGGTAATTCACCCCATTATCCTATAGATTCTTTCCCTTGATCCTCACAATCACCTCAAGAGAGAGGTGGATGGAGATAATAACAGACCCAACACTTATTGAGTACTTGCTGTGTGCCAGCACAAGCTTTACATCAATTACTTCATTCAGTCCTCAAAGGTTGGCTATGCTATTATGTCCATTTTACAGATGAGGAAAACAGGATCACAAAGGCGAAATGTCTAAGGTGGCAGAGTGGAAATGCAAATGCACATCATCCCACTTCCAGGGCTGTCCCCAGGAAGAGGCCAGAGGCAGAAAGTCTCCTCTTTGGGCTATGAGTGAGGGCTCTGCTCGTCAGGATGGGGAGGAGAGTTGGTCTCATGTCTACAAGCCAAGTAAGATGGCCGTGATGAGTTTTGTTTTTCTAATGAACACCAAATTCAACGCGTAAAGCAATTACTCACGGTTTTTACCTTTCCAGTGTTTTGAAAGACTGAATGACATCCTTCGCATGCCCCCAAAGAAAATATACCTAGACAGAAAGAAAGGAGGAAAAGAAAGACGCATCAGTGCAAGACCATCATCATATCTGAGAAGCTACACAACTTAAGGAAGAGGTTGGGGAAAATGTTGGGGAAGCCAGTGACCTCCCTCTCCAAGAACAGTGAGTTGCTATCCTCATCTCAGGTGGCAGTGCCACTCCCCGGTGGGGACAGTGCTCCGGAGCACTGCGGTGAGAACCAGAGTGAGGCTCCAGGTCAGGAGGAAATGGTGCCGTGACTGATTGAGGATCTCTGCCATGGGACAGGGTTTAGGGGCAGCAGCCTGCCTGTCGTAATCCCCGTTAACATGTTTATATCACCCACATTAGGCTTCATCAGAGAAATATCCACTGAACAGTTACTACGCCAGTGGCCAGAAGCCAAATTCCGAGTGCTTTAAATAAAGAACAGAACCGACACGGGCTGGTCTTTTATTTCACTCTGTTACATATGCCTCCCAGTCCCCTGGCCACTCACCTAGCTTGGAGGGTGTTGTGAGCAATTAAATAAGATAATCCATGTCAACCACCTAGAACAGCGCCTGGAGTGGGTACATTTCCAGTGACCATTCTCCACTGACAACTTACTCATTCGCTGGCATTGGCTGAGCGCCTCCTAGGGACCAGGCATTATCTAAGCTCCTAAACTACTTTGGGCCTTATTTTAGACACAAACACGTACAGTAGTCCCCCCACCCCATCCACGAGGAGTAGTTCCAAGATCCCCAGTGGATGCCTGAAACTGCAGATAGTACCGAACCCTATATATACTATGTTTTCTCTATACATATACATCTACGGTAAAGCTTAATTTACAAATTAGGCACAGTAAGAGATGAACAACAATAACTAATAATAAAATAGAACAATTATGACAATATACTGTAATAAAAGTTACCGTAGATCTTAGCAACCTCAGCAGACGATTTTTTTCTGATTAAGTCGAGAACTTTCATATTTTCACTTAAAAGAAGCACTTCACGGCTTCTCTTTGGCATATCCGAATTGCCAGCATCACTCCTCTTGCACTTCAGGGCCATTATTAAGTAAAATAAGGCTTACTTCAACACAAGCACTGTGACACCGAGACAGTGGATCTGATAACCAAGACAGCTACTAACTGACTAACAGGCAGGTAGCGTCTACAGCGTGGATCCACTGGACAAACAGGTGATTCACATCCCAGGTGGGATGAAGCAGGCTACTCAGAATACTTAGGAATTGTGTATTTCTGGAATTTTGTGTTTAATATTTTCAGACCACAGTGGACAGTGGGTAACTAAAACCATGGAAAGCAAAACTGAGGATCAGGGGGACCACTGTATTGAGCACCTACTGTGTGCCAGACACTGCTGGGCACTTTATAAATTTGTTTCATTTCATCTTCATTTTGCAATTAAGTGCCATAAAAAGAAAATCAGACAGCACAAAAGAAAACACACTTACACATACTATCTCTTCCTCATTGTTTTACGTAAGATTTACTGTCCTACTCTGGAAAACATTTTCAGGGCATTATTCTTGAAACATCTGACAATTTAAAAAAACAGATAGCAGTGACTCCTGGTAAAGATGACATTCAACCCAATGATCGGGAAACAATTAAGTAAATTCGTATTTACCAATGAATTTTAAGTTAGCTACTTAATTGATGCTTTTATAAAGACTACATAGCAACACAGAAAAGTTTGTGTTACCAAGTAAGGGCTTGAAGCCAATACTACGGCACCAGCTTTTGAGAAACGAGAAGGCTTTATTGTGAGGTCGACTAGCAAGGAGACAGGAGGCAAGGCTCTCAAATCTGTCTCTCCGATCCGGGGTTTGGGGCAAAATTTAAGGAGTTAGAGGCTATTAAGCTACTAAGCTACAGCTGGGCCCACGTAAGCTAAGTGGCTAATCTCGAATCAGTGCGTATATGGTCTACTTGGGCTGAAAGCCAGATTTTCCTTATTGAAGGAAGATTCTTGGTTCCAGCGTCATCCTGGGGTTATGGCTTCCCACCTGGCACATGCGCAGTGCTATCTCTGTTATTGAGCAAGTTTTGATTAAAATAACCTGTTTTATGGAGGCGAAATTAGTTTAAGCTGGTCAATGTTTTATGTGCTGTTTCATTGATAATTTTTGTGCGTGTGTGAGGAAGATCAGCCCTGAGCTAATATCCATGCCAATCCTCCTCTTTTTGCTGAGGAAGACCGGCTCTGAGCTAACATCTATTGCCAATCCTCCTCCTTTTTTCCCCCCCAAAGCCCCAGTAGATAGTTGTATGTCATAGTTGCACATCCTTCTAGTTGCTGTATGTGGGACGCAGCCTCAGCATGGTGGGAGAAGCGGCGTGTCTGTGCGCGCCCGGGATCCGAACCCGGGCCACCAGGAGTGGAGCACGAGCACTTAACCGCTAAGCCACGGGGCCAGCCCTGATAATTTTTTTAAAGTGAAAAACTCAGAATAGAAAATTCTGCACCTTCTATGTTAAACTTTGACAAGAGTGTACACTTGAGTACAAGGAATGGAAGAAACACATAAAAACAACAACAAATGTTTCAGTTAATGGGCTTACAGATATATTTTTATTCTCTTTCCCAATTTTTTCAGTAATGTTATACTGTATTTTAAAAATAAATATTTTTTAATTACCATACAATCCAGTAACCCCACTTCTGGGTACATATCCAAAAAAAGTGTTGTCATTGTCTGTTTTTGTCAATGTGTCCCAGTCTGACTGACGCCTCCATAGGGCTTAGACCACGGCTTTTCACCCTTGTGTTCCCAGTACCGAGAACAGTGTTTGCCCAGGTCAGAAGGAAGGAGGGAAGGAAGGAAGTTAGTTCTTTCTGGTCTCACTAGGGCTTTCCACATTGTCACTGGTATCACTATAAGACTCTGTCATCGTGGGATTTGACTCCCCTGGAATAAATACCCAGTTAACTGTTGTATTACTTTCCTGGGGTTGCCATAACAAAGTACCACAGACTAGGTGGCTTAAAACAACAGAAATTTATTTTCTCACAGTTCTAGAGGCCAGAAGTCCAAGTTATTTGTCCTCTCTGACCCCCAATTTTTTCCTTAGAAATGAACGTGATGATCCAATGCCTGTTCTTATGGAGTTGTTGGAAGCATTACACAAAGTGATAAATGAAAAGTACTTTGCATCTTTTACAGTTCTACAGAAATATTATTACTTTTATTATTAGAGTATCAAGGATCCCAATTCCGATAGCCATTACCAGGGATTTCTGCTAAGGTTGGAAGCTACACTGGACGCCCAACTAAGATTCTTTTCAAACATGAGATTTTCCTGATTCTAAGCTATATATTTAAATTATATATGCCAAATCCTCATTCCTTAGCCACTCCAAGTTGACCAATGCTGAGAAAGAACCTCTCATACATTTCTAAAAGAATTTATTCCACAAGTAGGCAAACAAAAAAAGTGTTTCAATGACCCAGAGGAGTGACTGTAATGGCACAGGGTTTCTTTTGGGGGTGATGGAAATGTTCTAAAATTGATGGGGGTGATGGTTGCACAACCTTATGAATATACTAAACCACTGAACTGTATACTTTAAATGGGTGAATTGTATGGTATGTAAATTATATCCCAATAAAAGTATTATATTAAAATTACCCAAGCCTTTTCTGGTGGACTTTGGCTTGGCAGAATTTCCTGATTCTTCATCATTACAAGTTCTGTCTCATAGGAGTCCCACAAAGATAACCAAGGGCACACAGAGTCCCATTTTATAGCAGAGGCAGCTGAAGGACTGAGCCTCAGAGACGGACTCAAGCTTACCCCACTCTGCCCCCACATGTCCTGTTTTATATACCCCGGAATAACTTAACAGGCACCAAGGCAATGTAAATAAACATTGTGTGGTTTACCTGCAGCAGAGTATGCACCGCATGTGTGACAGGGAAAACTCCTTCTGTGGCTGATAAACATTCAGAAAATCCAATGAAGTACCCAATTTTAAGGCATCCCAGGATGATGGTAATGACTGCAAACAATGTGATACTACCTAAATTTGGGGTGGGGGAAGAAACACACACATATAAGTGTTAATATGCACTGATGTCATTTCAAAGTAAATTATATTAAACCCTCACATATATGGCCAAATGATTTTTGACAGGGGTGCCAAGACCATTCAACGGCGGACGAACAGCTGTTTCAACAGATGGTGCTGGGAAACAGGATATTCGCATGCAAAAGAATAAAGATAGACCTTTACTTTATACTATATATAAAAATTAATTCAAAATCAATCAAAGACTTAAATGTAAAACCTAAAACTATAAAACTCTTAGAAGCAAACATAGGGGAAAATCTTTACAATGTTGTATTTGGCAATGATTTATCGGATATGACACCAAAAACACAAGCAACAAAGTAAAAATAGATAAACTGGACTACATCAAAATGAAAAACTTTTATGCATCAGAGGACACTATCAACCCACAGAATGGGAGAAAATATTTGCAAATCAAATATCTGATAAGGCATTAGTATCCAGAATCTATAAAGAACTACAAAATGAACAATAACAATAACAACAACAAAAACAATCCAATTGAAAAATGAGCAAAGGACTTGAACAGACATTTCTCCAAAGAAGATACACAAACGGATAATTAACACATGAAAAGATGCTCCACATCACTAATCATTAGGGAAATGCAAATGAAAAAAACCACAATGAGTCACCACCTCGCATCCATTAGGATGGCTGCTATCAAAAAAACCAAAGAGAGAGAGAGAGAAGGAGAGAGAGAAAGGGAGGAAGGGAGGAAGGGAAGAAGGGAGAAGAAGGGAAGAGGAGAAGAGAGGAAGAGAAGAGGAAAGGAATGAAGGAAGGAAGAGAGGGAGAGGGAGAAAGAAAGGAAGGGAGGGAGAGAGAGAGAAAAAAAGAGAGAGAGAGAGAGAAAGAGGAAGGAAGGAAGGAAGGAAGAAAGAAAGAAAGAGAGAGAGAGAAAGAGGAAGGAAGGAAGGAAGGAAGAGGAAAGAAAGAAAGGAAGGGAAAATAAATATTGGCAAGGATGTGGAGAAATCGAAACCCTTGTGTGCTGTTGATGGGAATGTAAAATAGTGTAGCCATGGTGGAAAATAGTATGGCAATTTCTCAAAAAATTAAAAATAGTATTTCTGCTTGATTTAGCAATTCCACTTCTGGGTATATACTCAAAAGGATCAAAAGCAGGGACACAAAGGGATATTTGTATACCCATGTTCCTGGCAGCATTATTAACAATAGCCAAAATGCGGAAGCAACCCAAGTGTCCATTGATGGATGAATGGGTAAACAAAATGTAGTCTATCCGTACAATGGAATATTATTCAGCTTTAAAAAGGAAGGACATTCTGACACATGCTACAACATGGATGAACCTTAACAACATTATGCCAAGTGAAATAAGCCACTCATGAATAGACAAATACTGTATGATTCTACTTACATGAAGTTCCTTAGAGTAGTCAAATTTATAGAGACAGAAAGTAGAATGGTAGTTGCCAGGGGCTGGGGGGTGGGGGCAATGGGGAGTTGTTTAATGGGTACAGAGTTTTAGTTCACAAGATGAGAGTTTTAGAGATTAATTACACAATGCGAATGTACTTAACACTGCTGAACTGTATACTTAAAAATGATTACGTTGGTAAATTTTATGTTATGCATATTTTACCACAATTAAAAATAAATACATATATATATTAAATAAATTCTACTATTGGCCTGATAAGCTGAAACTAGAAGACAGTATTATGTCCTGTTTATCATAGTACCCACCCCATGCATATCCCAGGGTTTGACAAATGATACACATTCAAGAAAAGTGTGGCTGAATCAACAGAAAGACTCTAGAAGCTTTTCCCAAAAAAAGATCATCTAAGAATGTCACCACTCTGCTCAAAACTCTCGGTTCTCTAATCCTAAAATCCCTCTCTCTCAAGAATAAAGGTGAGGGGTATACAGGTATACAGGAACTCTCTGTACTATCTTTGCGCCTCTTCTGTAAACCTAAAGCTTTTTTGAAATAGAAATTTTCCTTTAAAACAATGATGGGGGGCCGGGATCTATGGCAGCATCATGGAAAGGGCGTGTGCTAGGTGAAGTGAAGAAAGGAAATATTCTTTGATGGTGTATCCAGCATAGTTTTGACCAAAAATTAAAAACAAACAAAAAATTTGCATATGAAAAAAGACTAGAAAGGAATATACAAAATACATTAAAAAGAAACTTGTAACAAATGAAGAAATTAGGGAGAAAAACAGCGCTCGTGGAGACTTGACCAACATCAAATTTCCTAATCCCTCTTCTGGGCCAACACTGACCACCATTCACACATTCTCTCCCACCAATGGGAGGAAACTGGATCATGGGTGACACGCATCATGGCAAGAGAGAGAGAAGGGCATGAACCATAACAGTGAGCTATCACATTACAGCTCAGCCTGAGAAGCCTCCAGTGAAGAGTAATGCAATCGCCTGGCTCCTTTCCATTGCTCAAAGCCTTATAGAAACAGCTCTAAATCAGATTTTTTTAATCCTGGAAAAACCCCAGTGAAGTCAGAAACTTTGTAAGAGTGGAGATTGAATCCCAGGCCTTTGAAACTGTTTGACAAATGCATGGTTCATTTTGATTACAAAGAGAACTAACAAGATGAGGCATGGCAGCCTGGTTGCGGTGACAAGAGCACAGGGTGTAGCTGTGGGCACCTGGGCACTAGTCCTGGCTGCACCGCTGACGGAATGTGAGTTCAGACAAGTCACTTCTCAGCTCCTAGCCTCAGTTTTCCCATCTACAAAATGAGATTGGTCCACAGTAGTGGTTCTCAAACTTGAGCAAGCATCAGAATGACGCGGAGGGCTTCTTTTTTTTTTTTTTTTAATTTTATTTACTTTTTTTCCCCCAAAGGCCCAGTAGATAGTTGTATGTCATAGCTGAACATCCTTCTAGCCGCTGTACGTGGGACTCAGCCTCAGCATAGCCGGAGAAGCAGTGCGTCGGTTCGCTCCCAGGATACGAACCAGGGCTGCCAACAGCGGAGTGCGTTCACCTAACCGCTAAGCCACGGGCTGGCCCCGGAGGGCTTCTTAAAACACAGACTGCTGGGCTCCACGCCCAGAGTTCCTGATTCACCAGGTCTGGGGTGGGGCCCCCAAATTTGTATCTCTAACAATTTCCCAGGTGGGGCAGATGCTGTTGGTCTGGGACCCCACCTTAAGAACCACTGGTCTAGAACATCTCTGTCAGTGACATTTCAAGAGTTCAGTGATAAATACATCATATACCTTCTCACACTCTTGAAGTCCTTCCTTCCTTCCTTCCTTCCACCATCCATCCTTCCATTTATTTATACAACAAATATTTGGGGGACTCCTACTATATGTAAGGCATTTTGCCAGGGGCTCAAGGATAAACAAACAAGATTTCTGGAGAAACAAAAATACACACATATAATATTGCATAAATTGGAGTGTGCACAAAATATAGAGGGATGAGCTGGCTCCAGACTTCTCATCCACAGCATGGGAACCAGAACCCAGCTGAAGAGTAGCTCGAGTCCACTGCAAGGGAAGGACTGCAGCTCAAGAACCCTATTCCCAGCCAAGATGTGGCCTGCCTGTCAGGGCAAAAGACAGAAAGATATTTGAAGATGTGCAAAATATAATTTGTTCAACAACCATTTGTTGAGCATCAACTATGATCCAGGCTCTGTTCCAGGCAGTGGAGATATAAAAATGTCAACAAAACCAAGTCCATGCTCTTGGTGAGTTTAACATTATGGTGGGGAAGACAGAAAACAAACAAATAAATAATAAACATAGAAGAAATGTCAGGAAGTGCTAAGTGGATGAAGAAAAGCAAAGCAGGGAAGAGAACTGAGGTTGATGGTGGCTGGTCAGGAAAGGACTCGCTGAGAAGCCGAGAGGTGAACAGAGAACAGAGGATGGGAGAAAAATATCATCCACATAACTCGTCTCACAAAGGGCTTTAACCAACAACCAGAACTGAGAGAGACTTCTCAAAATTGGGGAAGATGAAGAGGAGAGGGAACAACAGTGAGTGATAACCTTTGTAAAAAATTGAAGGGGTGAATGAGTGTATAATGGAAGGAAGGAGGGAGGGAGTAGAGGGGAGGGAGCAAGGGTTGGTATAAAATGGATGAATGGATGGATGGATGGATGGATGGATGGATGGATGGATGGATGGGTGGATGGGTGGCTGGCTGGATGGATGGGTGGATGGATGAGTGGGTGAATAGTCTAGTGGACAGATAAATAGATTAATAGGAAAGAAAATAAGATAAGAGAAGTTAAATCCAAATGGATGAGGATAAACTGTCTGAAATGTGTAATCTACATGCTCTATGAAGACTTGTGATACAGGATAATGTTGGGGTTGGTCTGAGTGGGGGAGCAGAGACAAAAAAAACTTTCAAAGGTCTCATGGTAAAGAGATGGGTACTAGGGGGAAAGGGGGCAAAAAGAGGGAAGCAAATGTATCCTAAAGGGCTTATCTCATTGGAATAGAGAAGAAGTGGGAGGATCGTGGAGCAGGAAACACTGTGTCTTGCTGGGGGAAATGTGTGGTATTTTGTTTTCAGATAAGAATGGAGTAATATATAGCTGATTGTGAGAACGAGGAAAAGGAAGAGAGTCATTAATGGACTAGAAAAACACAATAAAATGTTCAAGTGCTCCAAAAAGCAAACGTGTGAAAAGGAAAATGAGGGGACAATATGTAAAATAAATCACTATAATCATCACAAAGAAAAAGAGAAACAATAAAGTCAAGCATATAAATCATTACTGTAAATTAGAATGATCTAAATCTACCATCAATTAGTAAACAAGGATGGGAATGTTGAATTAAAAACAAAATCCAGCTATGTGTTCTTTATATGAATCACACTATTAACAAAGCGATAATGGTGGAAAATAAAGGGGTAGAAAAAGATGAACCAGGCAATGCAAACAAAAAAGAAAGCAGGAATGGTGATATTAACATCATACCCTGA